AGTCACCGTTGCTATCACCATTTTGCAGATGAAGAAACTGAGGCTCAGAGTGGTTCTGTGGTTGTTCAAGGCAAAAACAATCTGATAGGAGGGTAGACTTATAACGATGACCTAGGTCTGATAATAAAACCCATATTTTTCAGGACTAGCAGATGGCATAATGGTTATGTTGCTGGATTCCCCATGGCTGACTACAGTTTGAGTCCCAGACCCAGAGGCTTGAAACTCATATCGGGTACTTATGTGTGCATGTCCACAATCCTGAGAGGAGAATGGAGGAGAAAGGACTATGGTGCGGCTATACCCCTTGGGGGTGATTTCTTGCTGTCTCTCTCTGTCTCTCCAATAACACACTATAGCCAAAATATATACATATATATACACCTATATATATATGTATATATGTATATATATGTGTATATGTATATGTATATATAATGTGTGTGTATATATATATAAACCACTTTTTTCATGTGTGTGTGGTATGTACTGGAGAGATGATGAAGGACCTCACCCCTTACCCCAAACCCTCCTATGTCCCTGGGTCCCCAGCTCCTTCCAACCACAGCTCTCTTTCTATTGGGCTATCTTGGCTACCTCTGATGCAGCAGCTCCAGGCCCTCCACTCGGACTCCTCTTAGTGATCAGTGCCAAGCACTGCCTGCGAGACCAGGCATACCATGTGACCCATCCCCAGGACAGGAGAGACAGGACTGCCCCAAGAACCTCCTTGCCAGCCTGAAATGGCCACCATTTCTTGTCCCTAGCAAGATCCTGTTGGCCATGAATAGAAAGGAGGCTCTGTAGGCACGCAGATCCTGGCTTTCCTGCAAACTAACTGAGAGCTGTTCAAACACATGGTGCAGACACGATTCTCTCTATTCCCTGAAGAGCAGGGCTTGGTGAGAAGGATGGGTAGGGCTTAGGAGTCATATGGTCCTGGGTTCAAAAGCTGGTCCCATTGCATCCTGGCTGTGGGATATTAACAAGTATTCAAACTTCAGTCTTAACATCAAAACAAAATCACCACAATGACATATCTTGCAGAGCTTGTTATAAGCATTAGGCAAGTTTGGCACATAATGAGGACCAAGTGCCAATTCCCTTCAACTTCCACTCTCTTGTAGGTTGGCACAGGGTGTTCCACAGTCATCTTTGTGTCAGCAATTCAAAACCCAGAATGTGGCACACAGCAGGGGCTCAAGAAAGAGGGAAGAATATTAAACCCCATCCTTTTCCCCACTCTCAAAAGTCTTATGCAAATGATGACCTGCAGACCAAATCTGGTCCACTGCCTGATTTTTTGTTTGTTTGTTTGTTTTAGTTTTTGCTATAGGGTGTGTACACTCAACAGAGAGAGGGCAAGTGAGAAATCACCCCCTGAGGGAAATGACCATGCTGCAATCTTTTCTCCAGTCTCCTCTTGGAATTTTGGGCACAAATGTGCACTCATGCACAGCATGATTTTAGAGCCACCAGGTCCGTGGCTTGAACCATGTAGCTAGCCATGTGGGATCCAGCACCTTCACTTCCATGTCACCTTCTGGCCCCTGCTTTATTTTTTAATTCATTTTTACTGAAATATAGTCACTTTTATTCAGGTACATAGTGTCTGTAACTGCTTTCAAGCTACAATGTAAGTGTTGAGTATATGAAGCAGAGACCACATGGGCTTCCAAATTGCTACAATGTCAGAGTTGAGCAGAGTCATATGAAGCAGAGACCACATGGGCTTCCAAAGCCAAAAACATTTACTATCTGTCTCCCAACAGAAAATGTTTTTCGATGAAGGAGAGCACTTGAGGGCCTCTTCGTTTTGGGGGAAAAAAATCCTCTGCCCTTCCCACCTATACTTTCAATCTTCTTTCCTTCGTTTATTTTGTCGCCTTAGCTTTTAACTTTGCATAACATACTATTTTCACTATGTATGCTGTTTCTTTACTGCTGAATTCTGTGTCCTCAGAATCTTAACTAATGCCTGACATTAGTCAAGACTAATGGACTCTCCAAAAATATGTGTTGAATAAACACTGATTTCATTGAAAAGACTGGTAAGCCAAAGTGTGTTGAAGAGTTTCTCTTTTATGAAAGATTTTGAGACCTTTTAAGCCCAATGGCTTAAAAAAGATGAGCTTCCTAATAGGACCCCCAGTCAACTTGGCTTCCTCCCCATAGCCTGTATGAGCGACTTCTGATGCTCAAGCCCTCCATCCTCTGCAGCATCTGCTATGGCCAGCCAGCCCCTCCTTCTGCAATCATCTTCAGCTCTTTGTTCTTATGGTTACCTCCATCTATGTCTGCTTAGACAGTCTCTCTCTTCCTCACTACCATTCTCAGCCTAACATACCTAGAGTCATATTCATCCTTTTTGCTCCAAACTATTTCTCCCCCTGAGATGTCTCTATTCTTAAAATGGTCCATTCTCCTTCCCATCTGCTGCTGGGTGACTTTGGGAGAATGATGTACCTTCTCTGAGCAGTTTCATCCCCATTAAATAGGGATAATGATACCTACCAGATTGGGCTATTATGAGTACTCAGTGAGCTCATATATGTACAAAGTATTTGGAATGTGGTGGTTGTTTCCCTTTCTCCCTTCCTGTTTAGATGATGAAACATCCCTTCTCTATCTAGTCTCTTTAATTATAGGAGACAGCTTATCTCCTATCTCTCCTAGAAGTTGGGAATGGAGAGATTGTGCTCATGATAACTCTAACCACCTTAGAATATTGCAGAGAATTAGTCTACAGGGATTTATAATATATGATACTCTCTGGGGTTGGTGAATATAATGTTATAAATATTATTATAGAAACTCCATGTTTCATCCAGATGCTCCACCATCCCTTTGCTGGCATGAGCTTCAGATACTAGGATCTGTGACATAGAACTCTATGTTTATATCAGTTTAAAGGTCCTGTGTATTACTGATCCTTGAACTACATGTACTGGACTACTGTCTCCCATACTTCCATGCTACTCATCTTTTATTTTGCCACAGTGCCTAGGACAGCATATGGTATAACGTGGGCACCCAGACAGTGCCATGTATACTTGCTAATAGGCAGAAGGGATGAGGTGCTCAGAGTTGGGAACGTCCATGCCTACATCTGCTGTAAAACAGTGATACCATAAGAATCTCTGGAAGACCAGATGGACTTAGGAGCCACCATTAATGCCTTCACCCCATATAGTTTGTGAAAGGAGAAAGAGATAAAAATGACATTTCGTGAGTACCAACTTGGTCCCAGGCAATTTACAAAAATCATCTCCTTCCTTCGTCAAGGTGACTCTATAATGTAGGCACTATTGCTGTCATTTTAGAGTTAAGAGAAATAGACTCAAAGAATTTGGCCATTTGCCCAAGGTTGTGTAACTGGTGGGTGACAGGCACAGGATTTGAACACAGAGCTGCATGAGTTCTAAAACTCATTCCTTTTCCACCACCACAAAAACATGTCATATTGTTTATTGACAGGCGCAGGATTTGAACACAGAGCTGCAAGAGTTCTAAAACTCATTCTCCTTCCACCACCACAAAAACATGTCATATTGTTTCACACCTCCATGGCTTTTCAGATAACTGTTCTCTCTTCTCAGAATTTTTTTTTCTCTCCAGTATTAGGAAAAGTCATCCCTAAATACACTGATAATTCTCCCCAGCCACGTTAAAAATTAGTCCCTCAGCTAAGTTCTCCTATACCACAGTCCATGCAGGTACCTATCCACTGAAATTTCAGTGACTGGATTGTATGTGAGTCTCTCAGATAGGCCTGAGTGTTGTGTGGATGAGGCTAAAGACCTAGCTATTTCTCCTTCCTCACTACCTGGGACATGATGTGTATTGCAATACATGCCAGCTGGATAACATGGAACTTAATAAATAAGTTATCTGGCACTTCCAGCATTGGTGTCAGGGCATTGGTTCCTAGTTAACATAAGGCAGCGGCAGTGTAACCTAATTTGCTCACTATTTGGCCCTATTGACCTGTGGACCCAACATTGAGCAGAGGGAATGGGGCAGCCTTTTGCTGGCTCTGTCTTCATCTGCAAAGTCCTCTACAGATCACTGATAGGCATGACCTCTCTCACAAGCCTGGGTTTGCTAGAGGTGATGGAAGACATGGAGTGGTGAGAAATATGTTGTACTAAGATCTAGGTATCCTGAGTTTTAATCTTATCTTACTCTTTCACTAGCTGATGTATGATGAATTCACATGCTTCTTTGGATCTCAGTTTTCCCAAATCAAAAACGCATATCAGGAATGTGGGGCTAAGTTAGTGTTTTCTCATTTTCTATCATTAAAGATTTACTGTATGGAGTTTTCCTCCTTGTCTCTCATGTTTTGAAAAGGCCTATTTTATTAGTAATAAAAATAATCATCTTAATTTATTAAGTACAAAAAATGTATAGCAAGCAATTATCCATAATGCACTCCCCCAATTATGCAGATATAATGTAAGATAACTAGTGCTAAATATCAAGCAGATAATTCTAGCCCAAAGAAAAGACTTTGAATGACTCTACCACCTGTGAGGCTAGTTCTAGATAAAGTTATGATTCCCTGTAGACTTTCTGAAATAACAGAAACAGCTAATGAATTCTCCTCTAACCTTTGAGCTCCCCAAGTAGACAACAAGTGGACTCAGAAATTGCTGAGATTGTGATTCTTTCTAATGAGTTCAAGCCCTGCAGAGGACTGAGTCTTGCTGGAATTCAGAGATTCCTACCAAGAAAATCACATTTACAAAGGAGAACAGTCCTTCTCATTTCTAAAAATGTGGGAGGAAATCTAAGATGGCAGAGACATAACAGACTTGGACAATGATGGTGCATTTTAAAATGGAAAACATCTACAGAAAATGAAAACTTCAGGGCTACAGACGACTTGGACAGAAGTGGGTATGGGAAACCAACAGACACTTGGTTGGTGTAGGAAATGCATGCTACAGATTCCTTTAGGGGGCATGAAGCAAAGTCAACACCAGCTCGATACTTACAAGTAATAGGAGTAGGAATAAGCATTTCTTCTATATATTGATGGGCAGTCAGATGAAGGAAATGTCCAAAAAGGGGGAAAAAAGAAAAGACAAACAAACAAGAATTAGATTTATATGAAATCTTGATTCTTAGAAATGCACACATTATCTCAGCATCCCTAAGCTCAAGGAGATGCAAGTTTCTCTACTCATCACCTTCGCTAAGAGTAAGATACCTTCAATGGTAGAAGAAACAAGAGACCTTTCTTATAACAGAGAAATTCACTATCTTGCACAGAGGAAGCCAGGTTTCATTTTGGCTGCTTCAGTTGTTTGGAAGTAACTAAAACTAGCTTCCTTGTAATTATGATAGTTTGGTCTTTGATCAGTTTTCTGTAGTCTCTTTGAACTAGTCTACCATTTTTCCACATGACAGTGTTCTGTGACCTAAGCTACACCACAATGACTCCTCTCTTCCCTATTTCAGTTCAAATCACATCAGAATCTGTTCAGTAGGTCATGCCAAAAGCCAGGAAGTGATGTACCCATTAATCCATACTTTCCAGTACTCAGGCCCTTGCACTGAATCAGGGTTGGCCCTGTATGGACAATAGAATGTGATAGGAGTCATATTCATAAGCTAGGTAAAAAAAGAAGACTTGCAGCTATACCTAGGTCTTTTGAAGTCCTTGAAACCCTGAGTCTTTATGTAAGAAGTTCGATTTCCATGGGGTCACCATGCAACAGAGATCACAGGGAGAGGCCCTGAGACTACATGAACAGAAAGAAATTTCCAGCCAGCTTCCAATAATTTCAGTCTTAATCATTCAAGTTATTCAAGCAAAAATCCTTGACATGGAACAGAAAAAAGTGCTTTGGTTTGAATGTGTTTTCCCAAAATTCAGGTGTTAAGATTTTTGTTGTGCCATAATTAGAAGGGTAAAAACTTAATTCAACCATGGTGTTGCAACTGGAGCCCTTTGGGAGATTAGGATTAATGTCATTAGGATGGAGCCCCCATGTTTGAAGTCTGGTGGGCTTATAAAGAGAGGGAGTAAGAAAGAGACGCAGGTATGCAGACATGAACAATTTTCTCTACTTGTCTTGTCACATGATCCATTCTCAAGAAGACCCTACAGATATAGACCCTGCATCTTGGGCCTCTAACCCATGAGCTAAATAAACGTCTATTTTTGCCAAGTATCCAGTTTCAGATATTTTCTGTTATCAGCAACAGAACAGACTAGAGAAAGCCATTCCTTCTAAGCCCTGTCCAAAGAATACTCAAGAGCAAAACAAATAATTGTGTATTTTTTTCCCAGAAGATGCATGTACTCACTGGAGGGAGACAGAGAGACAGAGAGAGAGGAAGAAAGCACCTCCCAATGGGGTGTGATCATATTGCAATCCCTTCTCCATTTCTCCATCCTGTCTGGATTTGGGGGCATGCCCACGCAAGCACCTCAGCATATTTTTCAAGCCATCAGAGCCAGGATTTGAACCATGCAGTTGGCTATGTCATATCTGGCTCCTTTAACTACTAGGCCACAGGGTCAGCCTCCATCCTCCCTTCCTTTAATGAGAGAGAGAGACAGAGAGAGACATCCTGGACAGGGTCTTATCATGCCACAACGCCTCTTCCCCAGCTTCAAGTTTCTCAGGATCCTTGGTGCCTGTATACATGTTTTCCATGTCTTCAGACCAACCAAGGGACCCAAACTCATGGCAGGCCATGTAGCTTTCAGCTTTGCAGGGCACTTGCATTACTGCTGTACCACAGTAGCAGGCCAATAATTGTTATTCATTAAGCCATCCAATTTTGTAGGTTGTTAGTTATACCATGTCAGAACAAACACAACCTCATCATAAGAGAGCATTGTACTGAGAGGAAAAAGTTCCAACCTTCAACCTGAACAGACTCAAACCTGAATAAACTCTGTACCTTCATATCATCATCTGTTCCTTAGACAGGCTGAACTAGATTAGTAGTTGCACAGTGTTACTAGATCCTGAGGGTTGTGCAGAGCACATTATGCAGGAAAAAGATACCAAGCAGGTAGGTTTGCTGGTTCCCCAGTATCCACCAAAGCCAGAGCATCTCTAGTTTAATCTATTTCATAGATTGTGTTTCATCTAAAATTTCACATGTCTAAGAATTATACCCTCCAAAGGAAAGCTTGAAAAATGACTGCCTTCATTCTCTTTCTAATGTCCCTACTAGCTTTTGGCTTCTGAGTAATCATAAAGCTCAAGAAATTCCCATGGCAGGCAAGAATTCTACCACTGAATGGTATTCCCTTTATTATAACTTATAATAAATAGAAATGCTTTTATTTCATACCAAATTTGGCCACACTGAAAATAAGTGATACATTTATGGTCTGAGAAAAATTGCTAGATAAGACAGGTCCCCAAATATCCATCTTAGTAGACAAGAATAGTTTCTTTCCTTCTTGAATTTATCTGATTAATTCTAACTGTTTTCTTGGCGTGGGCAAATATTTTGCAGTCTTTATAACTGCAAAAGGAGGAACAGGTCTTCATAACCCCACATCTCCCCTTCTCAAGTAGAAAATAGTCAGAGCCCTCAAGGCAGGCCATGTCTTAGATTTTTCTCATCTGTGGCAAAGCCCAATCCTATGAATGGGAGAATGACCTTGAGAGAGAATGACTCTGAGAGAGAAGAAGCCATGATGGGAAGGAAGCTCCTGCCTCCTTATGAGGCTGAGGACACCAAGATCTGGTCAAGTAGAAATCCATTCAATATCCTAGACCAGATGAACAGTGGATCTGGAAGATGATAGAGGTCAAAGAACTCAGAACTGTGGTCAGTGATACTGAAAGACCCCAGGACCAGCAGTTAGCGTAATGGCTATGTCACTGGACTCCCATGTAGTCAACCGTAGTTAGCGTCCCAAATCCAGTGGCTTAAACTCACGCCAGGCACGTGTGCGTGCATGCCCAAGATCCCGAGAGGAAGAGAAGGGATTGTGGTGTGGCCATCCCCGCTGGGGGTGATTTCTCACTTTCTATCTCTCTGTCTATCTCTGTCTTTCTGGCAAGCGCATGCACCCTATAGCACAAACCCCCCCAAAAAAAAAAAAAAAAAAAAAAAAAAAAAGACTCCACAGTAAGTCATCACATCATCTTTGCTCTCCAGGCAGCCTCTATAAGGAAACCATTCCTCTATTTCACTTCTGGGTGGTCCAGTGCCAGGGAACTCGCTTGGAACCGAAAGCTCAGAATCCATTTGATGAAAACTTACAACACCTGGGGAACCAGCAATTAGCATAATGGCTATGTCACTGGACTCCCACGTAGTCGACCGTGGTTTGCGTCCTGGACCCGGTGGCTTAAAACTCACACCGGGCGCGTGTGTGTGCATGCCCAAGATCCCGAGAGGAGAATGGAGGAGAAGGGATTGCAGCATGACCATCCCCCCGGGGGGTGATTTCTTGCTTTCTGTCTCTCTGTTTCTCCCTGTCTGTTTGGGGAGTGCATGCGCCCTATAGTGAAAACCTCTCCAAAAAAAAGAAAAGAAAAACTTACAACACCTGTGTTTTTCATTTGTTGAGAACACTGATCTGAGAACAAAGAGGCCAGTGTTCAAATCCCAGCTCTTTTACCTATTCACTGTGTCATCTTGGGCAAGTCAGGTTCTCCCCTCAGAGTTCTTTTTCCTGATCCATGCACAGAGGTGGATAGCATAGATGAATGACAACTCAAAGAGCTTTGAGGAGTGAAAAATCCAATAAGCCTTAGTATCTTAGTGCTAGCATTTACTGCATAGCCTTGCATAAGTCCCTACAAAGTTCTGAGTACCAGCTTCTCGTGGCCGGCCACATAGCTTTCAGCTTTGTGCTAGCAAATGTTTGGAGAAAATAATTAGTTATTTCTATGAGTCACTGTGAGCATTAACGTTAGACTATATTGAATTAAATTAGATTCAAATTATAGATATGAGGTATTTTATGTATATTACATTAGTCTAAATTAACATTGGATCATATTAATCTAAAAACCTGGACTATAATAGGGCTTAATAAAGGATGGTTAATGTACCCACATCATCCAGGGGTGTAAGGTTTACTTATTCTCATTCTGGGAACCAGGAACCAAGTGTTCACCTCTTTAGAAATAGCAAATGTAATAAAACAAGAACAACTACTTAGGCAGCACTTACTACGTGCCAGGCATTGTTCCTGGATTTTATCATACATTAATTCATGTACTCCTGAAAAAGCTGCCCTAAGAGATTGGTATTATTTTCATCTCCACTTTATAGATGAGGAAACTGAAGCATGGCAAGTATAGGAACTTGCCTAAGATCACTTATCTAGTAACTGGATTTGATAGAAGTATGGCTCTACAGTTCATGTACTTGGTCACTGTCCTGTGCTGCCTTTGAGGAATGAAGAAAACAGATGTGTTTGTGCTAGATGGGCATTTGGCTGCCATGTGCCAAGTGTCTCCTTAAATTTTCC